CCCCCCCAATACTAGACCACATTAATCAAGACCAGTCTGGGTCCTCTTCAAGTTCGGACGGCATCCTGGGCTCCAAAGTGGCCTTGATCGGCACTATCGGGGCCAGCTGCATCATCTTCCTCGTGCTCATCCTCCTCCTGGTCATCCTCCTCATCAAGATGCGCAAGCGGGCCAGGAAAAACGCCCACTCTCAGGCCCGCCCCTCGGCGCTGTCGCTCAGCACGCTGTCCAACCCCAAGCTGCCCAGCGGCACGGCCGGCACGGAGCCCAGCGACATCATCATTCCGCTGCGGACAGAGAACAACTACTGCCCTCACTACGAGAAGGTGAGCGGCGACTATGGCCACCCGGTCTACATTGTCCAGGAGATGCCTCCGCAGAGCCCCGCCAACATCTACTACAAAGTCTGACCCGCCCCTCGCACAGCCGGCGGACGCTGTCAGGAGAACGGAGGTAGAACACAAGAGAAGAGGAGCGCCCGATTCACGTTCTTGGGGGAAGAACACTTTTTTCCTTTTTTTTTGCATTCGGGGACTTCCTCAAGCCCCTGTTATCTCTACCACCTGCTGCACAAATCTGGAGAAACACGCACCGGCCGCTAACCATCGGGGTGACTGATGAGAGAGGTTCGCTCTGTTTGTTTGGGTCGTCTGACAATCCCCCGCCCTCCTCCCCCCCACTCCCACTCCCACTCCCCTCCCCTCCCTCACCTCCCACCTTCCCTTGCATCTCCCTGATGTGTTCTCACAGAGAGAGAGAGAGAGATGGAGGGTGGGCGGGGGGGCGGGGCCGGAGCGAGCGAGCGACCAACATATGGAAGGAACTCCAGCTTCGCGGTCCGCTGTTCCTCTTAACGGATGGGATATAACTTATCTCAGCTCCCCGAAGTACAGTCTGTGCTACACCCAATTAAACACACCATCCTAGCACACTAAGCCAGGCAGAGGCAGCCATGGGCCCGAGTGCCACTCAGCCTGCCTCCGTTTGTGTGCCAGCAGAAAAAAAACACGTGCGTGCGTGTGTGTGTGTGTGTCTGCGCGTGTGTGTCTGTGCGTGCCTCGGTGCGTATATGCGTGTGTGTGAGTGTGATAGTCGGGGCCCGGCGCTGGGCCAGGGAACTCTCCAGATAGCTCAGGTATCTTACACAGTGTGTGAAATAATGTGCTCCTCTCCCTTCGCACCTCTGATGTTTGCCTTACTTACTATTTTTGATGGAGGATTTCCTTGAACCCTGATTAAGTTCACAAAGCAGTTGTATTTTGTTAGACTTTTCCTACAAGTGCACAATGTATAGAGTCACATAGATCATCGTTATTACTCCATTCTTCTCACCACCCCGCGTCATCCATGACTCGTGTTTTTGTTTTTGTTTTTTTTTTGGGGGGGGGGTTTGTCATAAGGAAGTACCTTGACCCGGTCAGTTGATGTGGAGGTGTGTACACGTGTGTGTGTTTGTGTGTGAACGTATGTGAATTCTCCCGTCTCCGTTGCTCGGATCTGAGTTTCACCATTACTCCGGTATTTATGGGCCCGCCTTGTGTGTATTCCAGGGTGTGTCCTCCTGTGAAGTGAGTGTGTGTGTCGGGGCATGTCCGGACCGGTTTCCAGCGTGGGGAGGCTTTATTGGCTTTGCGGTAGAGCACAGCGTTACTGTATCCTGAGCTTTAAAAAAACAAAAAAAAAGTAAAACAAAAAAAAAGAACGAGACAGGCAGCAGAGAGACAGAAAAAGCCCTGATGAGCCCTAACGAAACCCCTCTCCACGCTCCACTCGGCACCGCTTCTAGATCCTTCTGTCTGGAATGGGGCTTTCATGTCGTTGGCCTTTGAGACAGGCAGGTCGGTGGTTGTTCGCTCCGGCTTCTGGGGCCACAGTTGAAGCGCAATCGGATTGAGGCGGGCGTCGGCCCTGGGGGAGGCCCTCCCTCTACGTGAACGTGCGTGTACGTATACGTAAACGTGCTGGGTGCTGATCTGGGGCTGCGGAATCGTCGGATGCCAAGCGGCCGCCATCTGGAGATGAGTCACTGGCGCGTGCGGCGAGAGGTGACTAATCTGTGCGCCATCTTCGTGCCCACACTCGGCAGACGGGATAGAAAAAAAAGGATTTAGGAGGAAATGTGCCTGTGACTTTGCTTTAACCTGAGCTGATGACAGTGGTGGGAGCAAGAGGGAGGGAGGGAGGGAGGGAGGGGTGATAGGTAAGGCAGGAACTGTTAAGAGGGCGAGAGGGAGGGAAGGAGGGAGGGAGGGAGCGGGAGGGGGGGGCAGTTTAGGATTCATCATTTTTCCATCCTCTCACTAGTTGGGCTGTGAATAAAAGCGCCTGCTCAGAATATTCCACAGTCAAGGTGTTCAGCCGGCGAGGACACTGCAGCCCGGCTATCGCACAGCCCCGGGCAGCCAGACGGGATTTATGCAGCTGGATGCACCAGGAGGAGCAGGAGGAGGAGGAGGAGGAGGAGGAGGAAGAGGCACTTTCTGTGGACACATGCCTGCTTATGTACAGGAGAGCTTATATTTGTTGCTTCACTTGCAGTTTCTCTCCACACACACGTGTACGCCGGCGTGTGCGTGCTGGTTTTCTCTCGGACCGGGACAGGCCCCGGCTAATGATGTGTGAGAGGAGAGGGGAGCAGATAAGGACAGCCATTCGTCAGCACGGAGACGCGAGCTGTCGTTCCGCACGCGCACCCGCGCACACACACGCACGCAAACACACCCCGAGACTCGACGGGTCCAGGTCTCTATCTCCAGTCCAACGGTCAGACTGCCGGTTAATGTTTTTTTTCCTCCTCCGGGCAGAGGCGGCCCATCTTCCTCTCCCACACAGAGCAGACGCTGCTGAGTTAAAAGGCAGAGCAGCTTTCAGGACTCCGGGAAGACTCTTGCGTGTCGTTAACCTCGGAGTTAACAACCAAAACAGCTGCCGCTCGTGCTTTTTTGCGGCCCTGTGTTTTAACTCAGCATGCAGCCCTCAGTGGCCCTCTGCAAAAGGCATCAAGAGCATATATTTTTGTTTCGGATCGCTGCGCATCCATTCAGCTACACCAGCTTAGGGAGTCATTACCAAATTACCACAAACCATATCTCATTTTCATTCATTCTGGTGACCACTTAATGTTCTTCATTTTTTTTTTTTTTTTTTTTTGGGGAGGGGGGGAGGGAATCAAAAGAAGTAAATGGAGAAATGTAAATATATGGATAGAGCCCAGTTTAAAATGTAATTTCACCCGAACACTGCTCATAAGGAAAAATTTAAGATTAGATTTTTGTAATGGAGGATGTTTGTAAATAGCTGTCTTTTTAAAGTGTGTTTTGTATGAATCCTTGCATTTTTTTTTTTGTCTCAGCGACATGTTTTTCATTTCTCTTCCTTTAGATTGAAACTGAATATTGCAGCGATCACACGAAGCTGTGTTTTACGCAGCGTCCAGTATTGTCGAAAAAGTCTTTGTTACCACATGTGTTTATGAAAAGAAAAATGAAAAAAACTATACAAAAACCTGGGGTTCAAGTGGTGTTTGTTTTTTTTCTACTTTGCCTTTCAACAGGAATTGTAGACGCTTCAGAAAAATATTTCAGGACTTAGGTTTTGTCGCCAACAGGCTGTAATGCGGATAGATCACTGAAACTGGGATGATAAGGCGTCCCATCCCTGTTGGAGACAGCACTTGGCTCTGCATATGAAGACTGTGTTATTGCGCTCCCTTTGGGTTACCTACACCCTCCACTCTATTATAAAATGTGACAAAAGCATTTTTGGTCCAAAAAGATAAATCTTATCTCGATTTTCAGAAGTCCACAGGACCAGCAGGGAGAGAGGCGTAGAGAAAAAAGCAGGAGAAAGGAAAAGGAAAAAGGAAAGGAGGCCATGTAAGGGAGTGTGACCGCAGTGTGCCAGCCAATAAATCATCTGGTTTACACCACTCATTATCTCCCAGGCGTTCTTTTGTTTTAAAGATGCTCTCTCCTTCTCCTCCTCTCCCTCCGCCTCTCTCCTTTGTCATCCCCCCCTTCCCAATTTAGCACAAAGATGTCAGTCGCCCATAGTATGAGCCTCAGTGTAGGTTGATTTCTGCTCTTGTAAGCCACAGTATTATAATTTTTTTTTTAATGTGCATGTGAAAGCGAAAAACCTGTTGAATTTATTCCTTTTGTTTGAATCACAACTGTCAAGTTTTGTTCTCTTTTTTTTTTTTTTTTTTGCCATTCACTTATTTGCCGCTTCTCAGCGTAACCTGTTGGCACCAGCTACAATGGAAATAACGTTCCACCAGTTTGGAAACTACCGCATATTGATAAATAAAATTTTTCCCATGGAACTTGGTCTGGATTCATCCTTTTTCCTCCTCTTTCCTGCTTTTTGTTAAAAAATTTTTATGGGTTTGTGATAGTCGGTTAACGATTTAATTTGCCATCCTACTGACCACCTCAGTGACGGTGGTGACATAAACCAGTCGCCCACGCTCACAGCAACCCCCCAAATCTCTAACCTCAGGGGTCAGCGCTGCACAGATGGGTTTGTTCCGATACATTAGTCAGATTGAAATCACAAGCAGGCTTCATAAATTCATATTCAGGGAATGCGGACATGCCTTTTTGCATAGTAACTAATACCCGTATCGGCTGGCTCTGGCCTGGTGTCCTCCAAAATTACATTTCTTCATACATGATTAAATCTGATTGGCTGCACTCTGCATTTCCAGAGTGTTTGTCTGAAATCACAGTCTGCTTTTGTGCGACCCTAAAGAGCAAACGCCAAGTCCTTGGTGAAAGCAGAGATGGCATGAAATGTTATTAAAGTGATCGGGCATTTTCTCTGACACACACACCAGTGTTTGTGGGCATGGCTTTCATGCTGATGATGATGTGAGCAGAGACGGAGTGGGCGAGTGAAGAGACTGACGGAAGAAGAAAAAAAGTCAGGGCAATGAAAGGCGTAATGTGCCTGTGGCTTCACTAAACCAACCCCCACCCCTGTCCTGTCATTTTCCCTTCGCTGTTTTTCCTTCTTAGCCCCGGGACAGGTATGTGTTCATCTGGTTTCCTGGCTCGGTCCCGAGACGCCCCCGTAGATCTACGTTACTATGGATTTATTAAAACCTTCCCCCTGCTGAGCCACTGTGTCTTTCCCCGCATCCATCTGTGAATGAGACAGCGTTTGAGTGTGTGTGTGTGTGTGCCTAGCAGCAATTTTTGTTGCTTTGGAAAATCCATTCTCTTGATCCCAGTTAAAGCAAACATCATTACAGCGTAGATCTACAGCCGTTTATTATTGCTATGCGTCGTTTATCTTTTTTTTTAACGGTGCAACACGTGGGCTCTCATATCTTTTCAGATTAAACAAGTCACCTGGGAAAGCAACAGCTGCCAGCAGTCTGTGGTGGCTTGGGAACGGCCTAATTTAC